GACTGTGCCGCACGCAGCCTGGGCTGCGGTTTGCACGCACTCACGTGAACGTCACTGCCACCTGTATGTGTTCCCAGTGCTGCCTTTGACCTCAGGGAGCACCAGGCGATGCTGTGTTGCCAGGAAAGGCCTGTGCACAGTTGTACACGAGTCAGTGCCTCCTCTGCCAATTACGGGAGGCTGGGTTTATGCAACCAAAACAGAGTCTTCACAGAATCACAATTACAAAACCAAAAGCAACTTCAGAGACCCTCTAGCCCAATCTGCTCATTTTACAGGTCATTCAAAGTCCAGGTGGATAACTCTGACCATTAACCTTCTCCCTTTGCTTGTGCCACTTAGATAGAATCAAAGCTCTGAAACTGAGTGGCTTGTCCTAAGCCCTGTCTTTCGCAGTCACAAGACTTTTTAGCTTGTCTGCCCTCTACCATTTCAGACTTCGAATGTCTGACCTGTTCCACCCAAATGGCCTCTCCTCCTGACCTGCCCAGTTTCATTTTCCCCAGGTCCTTTCTCAGTCACATAGGCTCAAGCCTGAGGTTTCTTTCTCCTGGTCCACGCCCTGTCTGTCAAATGACCCGCATTCTCTCTTTACAGTGTTTCTGCACTTCCTTTCTAGCACAGAGCTCTTAATTTGGGTTTTATGACCTCAAATCTGGACTTTTCTTCCTGTTTTCACATGCCATCAAATTTTCACCCGCTATTTCCCTGCTCTAAAAATCAGGTCCCATCTGAGATCTACGCAGTCAGAATCTGCATTCTGGTAAGATTTCCGGTAGATGTTATCCACGTTAAAGTCTGAGAAGCCCTGTGCTATGTGCTATGGGTCTTTCCGAACACTTTGTATGCATTTTATCATTTCAGCATTATGATCCTATGAATCAGACACTATCATTATCCTCCAGTGCACATGGGAAAATTGAGGCTGAGCCACAGTAGGTAAGTTGCCTGAAGTCGCAGGCTGAAGTTCAGGACACTATGAGGAAATACTAATGCGGGAATAAAAACATGAGTGGCAGTCAGGAGAGTCACTGGGGAAGTTAAGCTGAATTCCAGAGGAAGAGTAAGAGTGAGCCAGACTAAAGGAAAGGGGATGGGGATATTCTGGAGAGGTTAACAGCATGTGCAAATGCCCTGAGGTGCAGAAGAAATGGGAATATTTCCAGAAGAGAGAGGAAGGCAATGTGGACGTAGAGTGGGACTAATGAGGAGAACGCAGTGATATAAAGGCCCTTGTATCTTGCTCAGGAATCTTGCCTTAAATTTCAGTGAGTGCTAAGGGGAACATTGAGGGCTTTAAGTATGTTTGGGGAGTAAATAGAGTCCAAGTGGCCTCTCAGACCACCACAAGGAGAATGGCGTGAGAAAAGAAGGACAAGATGAAGCAGCAGGATGGCTGCAGGGGCCTGGTGGGAGTGGGGGCAGTTTGACCAGGGAGCGCAGTAGGAATGAGGTGAAATGGTTTGTGTTTGCCTGGAAATAGAACTGACAGACCTCGGACCACATGTTAAGCATCTTCGCCGCCAAGAGCAGCGTCCACTACGTGGAGACTAATAGGAGTGCCGTGGTCCATCTCTGCTTGTCAAGCGGAGTCTTCCTCCCTCCTTCCATCCTTCCTTCCATCATTCCTTCCATCCCTCCTTCCTTCCTCTTTCTCAACCCCTCCTCCCCTTGCTGTCGCCCTCTCTCCTGGCGGGAAATGGGATTGGAAAACGTGTGAACTGCAGATTCTCTGGCCACACAGGGCACACTCCCATCTTTGCTGCTGCAGCTGTGCGTGCAGTCGGACCTCCCTGAGTGCATCTCACGCTCCAGAGATAGCGGGTCCTGGGGAAATCCCAGGTCCAGTGAAGAGCAGCTAGTGCCCTACGATATGTCCAACGTGACAACGTGGAGAGAAACTGGATGGTTAGGTTCGAGGCACAGCTATGCCCTGATTCCTGGTCTTGGAACAGAAGCCAAACTGTCCTTCCTGGGCCAGTACAAACTGAGGAACAATTATGCTCCAACAGTTCTCCCCCAAGCCTGTCACCTCCAGCACAAGGTGGCATGTCTGACTTAATGACTCGATAAGGAAAGAGAGCTGAGAAAGGATTTTCACAGCTAACAGTGTTTTAGGGCTAGCCAACTTCCATAAAGAAGGAACGGTTTTTAGCATCGGTTTTAAAATGTCATACATCTTGTTTGATTTTCTTATTGTTTTAAAAATAGTGTCCTTCAGAGAGGGTTAGACAGTTGAAATTGGGTTAACAAAGCAATTTTCCTTCTATCCTAAAAAATAGTTATTTTAGACATAGTCACATACAGAATGACTTGCAGACTTAGAGCCATTGTCTACCTGCTAAATAAGAACATTTTAGGGATTTTAATTCAGAGCTGTTTGCAAATACTTCACAGGTTTCATGCCTACTGATTATTTGCATTCATAGCAGAAAGCTGTGTTTTTACATTTAAATCCCAAGGATTTTTTACCACTAAAGATGTATGAAAATATATGTCAGACTAGGTTCTTTTATCACATTTATTTTTCTTTTCCTAGAGGGGAAAAGCTCTGTTCTTATAACTCACTTCAATTTAATTTATAAGCCAGTTCGTTGTAAGTGGGATTATCTAGCAGCAAAGCGGTATTTAGAAGCTCTTACCCTGAAGATAGGTTTCTCTTCAAAAAAAACAGGTCGTGTTGCCTTGCTGGTCTCGTTTGCTGTCAGGTGATTTCACTCTTTGGTCTCGTAACACAACCTTCTACCCACCTCCCATGTTAAAAAAAATAGCATCAGTAAGATCAACCTTATTCCTCATCTTGTGCTCAATGCCTTGCTTCAGCCCTAGTGCTCTTTGGACACACTTGTCTTTTGACCACCTTTGGAGTAACATAGAACATAGTCTCCCTACGGCGTTCTGGAATTGACAGCAAGGCTTGCCTTGGCCGGGGACGAGGTCTGGCATGCACAGCCTGTAGCACGCATGATGTAAACGTGTCAAGCTTAGTCGATAAGCTGGGGACATCAGGTGTCAGGGAAGAGCCACAACTTAAAAAACCAAAAATTTTGATTCCTATGTTTAGCATGAACAATCTGACGAAGACCAAGGGTTGCCCTTTCCTCATTGTTTTTCTGCACAATTTTACACAAAGCTCTCAAACTGGAAAGGTGATCTCATTTTCTTAGCCCCTCTCTTACTTTTTCTCCTCTATTTCCATCATTTTTGGAAGAAAAACTTCTCTATAATTTTCTAAATCTTTTAGAAAACTAGTAGAGAAACTATTTTTCTCTACTAGAAACTAGTAGAAAACTAGTCTTTTAGAAAACTAGTAGCAAACTACTGTGGCCCAGTAACCTTGAGCTGCAGGAAGGCGACTTTCAAGTCTGCACATCCGCTCTTGGGGTTTCCTGTCCTGGAGAGCTCCCGATCGTGACTGTTCCAAGGAATTGCCTCATTGCTCTGGAGATGAGCACCAGATTCTTTGACAGAGATTTTGTTTGATGTTGTCTTTTAATTTCATTTGTATCTTTGTTTGCAGACCATTTCCTAAAGCATAAAGCTGGCACTGAATGCCTATTGGGCATTCATTGATGAGAGGATAGAATAGAGCTGTCAAGGAGTTTGAACATCATCCAGTTTAATTTGCGATCTTTACATTCAAGAAAACTGGGGCCTGAGAGATGAAGTGGCTCGTACAAGGTTTTGCAGTGAGGTAGTGAGATTACCAGAGCCAGAGCCTTCACATACCCGGTCTGTAACCGCTAATCCCCACTAACCACGGTCATCCTCAACTTACACAGCCTTCCTCCTTCTCCGTGCTTTTCTCTTCTCTTTCCTTGCAAAGATGCCACTTCCCCTTTCTTCCGATTTTTTCTCTAGCCTTTAAGAAGCACACACCAGGGATGTCTTTTGCCCTCTTCTCAAACTTCTTGGACCAAAGCTATTCTAGTATGCAGCCAGGGCTGGGCTAGGAACGTATGAATAAATGGGCTACTGGCTACCAGCACACCTTCTCTCTCTCTTTTCCTATACAGGTAACATGCACCCTGACCCTCTCCTCCAAATTAAAGCACTCAGCCTAAGCTAAAGTGCTCCTTGCTATAAAAAGTTGTAAGGACATTGAGGAGATTGCCCAGACCAACCCCGTCTCAGCTGGAGCATGAGCCAGAACATGGCAGCAGCGTGTGTGCTCACAGGGGGACTCACAGAGGGCTCGGCTGAGATTCAGACAAAACCAGCACGTTACAATATGGTAACCAGGTAACATAAGGAAATGCTTTATGTAGAACATGGCCTCTTATCCATCACCCATCCCCATTTATTCACCTCTCTACCGGCCAGTCTGTCGCATCTTCTTGCCACCTTGTTCTAGAAAGGGTGTGAGCAGCAGGCCCTAAGGAAACATCTGGGCAGCTCTGTTATAAATGGAATTGTCTTACTGATGAGATCACCCAACAACAGAAAATACAAAAATATTAATCTGATCATAATATTCATTTTATAAAACTTCAAAGTATATAAGCATGTATTATTAAATATTGACAACATTTTTCCCATATGACCTTCTTTCTTTGAACATTGAGGTGATCCCTACCATTTCCTTTTAGTCTCTCTCTCTCTCTTTCTCTCTCTCCTCATTTCTTAATGTTTAAAGGAAATGGTAGGGATTATATATATATGTATAAATATAAAATGTATATGTATACCAGGGTACCTATATCAGAGAGAGAGCTACTGTTTTCTTTGTAACTTTTAGGAATTCCTTTATAATTTAAACCAGAAAGCCTCAGATAACTGACACTATTCACATATTGACCAAGTGTAAAATCATAAAGATTTTTTTCCTACTAAAACAAGTGGCAGTGAAGAAAATATGCGTCATTCACAAATCACATGTAAAACAGAAGACATATAACAGGCCTGTGTCGACAAAGTGCATTAGAGCAGTGCCTTGGATTGTGACAAAAATAGCCAGTGAATCTTTCCCCAAATTCAGAAACCAAATTGCAAGCCCTTACCTTGGAGGGCCTGCAAGCTATGAGTCTGTACGATAATGCAGAGCTGCAGGACCAGCTGTGGAGCACTTTCCAGAAAGGTGGCTAGCAAGTGCAGCATGCTCACATCGGCATACTCATACACCATTTTCCAGTAAAACCTCCATCTGTCATTCTCCCCGCTCTGTCGGCTTCGAATGCCTAAGTATATTGTGTGGAAATATCTAGAAAGAAAACATGGAGAAGAAAGAGATGAGTGATAGTTTATAATTCAAGCTCCGGGGTTGTTTTTCTTTTCTGCGAGCCACCTATGCAAGCATGCACGTGGAATAATTACCTTGGTGGCTATGGTTTAAAGTCCCAAGTGAACTGTTTAAGAGTACCCTCGTGCTTACATGCTCACTTTGAGAAGTCACTGAATTTTAGTCTTCATCAAAGGCATTCCACTGAATTGCAATATGAAGAAGAATACGGTGAAGAGTGGTCGCAACTCAGGTGGAGAAGGGATTTGTTACTTTAAAAACCTATATACATCCTTTCTTGTCAGTTCCTCTATGCGCTCAATAGCATTCGTGAGGTGGATTTCTCCTAGGACACAGTGCAAATCTGAAGTAGTAAAATGTATGTGCATGTAAACCTGCCTTGTGTCTTAAAAAAAAAGCACTTCTTGTTATAGAAAATGTCAAACATATACAAAAGGAGAAAAAATGGAATAATGATTCCACTATACCCTTCACCCTGATTAAGTACAGTTGACCCTTGAGGAACACGGGAGTTAGGGGTGCTGACCCCCACGCAGTCAAAAATCTGTGTATAACTTTGCCTAAAAACTTAACTACTAATAGCCTATTATTGTGTGGATGCCTTACTGATAACATCATCAATATAATCAATCAATGAACTGTATGTTATGTGTATTATATACTGTATTCTTACAGCAAATTAAGCTAGAGAAAAGGAACTGTTATTAAGAAAATCATAAGGAAGAGAAAATACTGTATTTTTACTATTCCTTAAGTGGAAGTGGATCATCATAAAGGTCTTCATCCTTGTCTTCATGTTGACTGGGCTGAGGAGGAGGAGGAGGTGGAGGAAGAGGAGTGTTTGGTCTTGCTGTCTCTGGTCAGGGGGAAGAGGCAGAGTACGTGGACTCGCGCAGTTCAAACTCGTGTTGCTGAAGGCTCAACTGCAGTTACCAATATATTGCCAATCTTTTTCATTTATTCCTCCGCCTACTCCCCACCACCAGGTTATTTTGAAGCAAACTGCAGGCATCACATTATTTTATCTGTAAATATTTTATTAAAAATAATTTTAAAACCAACACCATTACCACACTTATAAATAATGACAATAATCTCTTAATATTACCAAATACTCAATGTTCATATTTTCCTATTTATCATAATTTTTTAGTAGTTTGTTTGAAATGCAACTCAAACAGGGTCCACACATGATGACTACTTAATATATATCTTAAGTCTCTTTTACACTATGGATTCTCCTTCCATTTGCTTTTTATTTCTTGCATGCTTTTCATTGTCTTGATTCTAATGATTGTACTTGCCTGGTGTGGTTAAGGTATCTATCCTCTGTGTTTTCTGCAAAGGATAGATGGGTAGTTAGTGTTAGAATTTTGATCAGATTCAAGTTTGATCATTTTGGGTGGGTGATGTGTATTCTCACCGGGAGGTACATCATGGTTTGTTGTTCTCTTTTATGATGTTATCCTTTGTTGATGATACTGTGATCAGAGTTGCAAAATGGTGATATTCTGAGTCGATCATCTTTCTGTATTTATTAGCTGGAACACTTCTCCAGCTCCTTAGTCAATGTCTGTACAATATTTGGTTGTTTGAAGCTTGTTCTCTAGTAGATCCCTCGAGAAAGGGATAGTATTTTCTGAGTCCTTACATATTTGTAACAGGATGTGGTTATCAGTGCACTGGGTGGGGATAAGGTTCCTTTGGTTACACAGACCATAAAGTTTCACAGTTTTTTGTTGGAAGCTGGTGCCCACTTCAAAAGTCTGTGAATTAACTGCATTTACCCGATGCAAAGACTTTACATACAGCAAGGAAATGCAAGAGCAGAAAAGCCCAGGCAACCTTTTCACTGAAAGGTCAGGTTGGGTGGATGTAGAATATTGTATTATATATTCCATGCAAGACCCAAATCTGCAATTTATTTATCTGAGCATTTTAAATCTGCCACTTCATTGTTTATTGGCATGAAGTGCTGTCACGGAAAAGTCTGATAGAAATCTAATATTCTTTCTCTTATAAGCTATTTAACCATTTTTCTTGGGTGCCCAAAGAATATTTTGTTTCTTTTTAAAGACCTATAGTTTTATTAAAAAACAGCATCTTGATATTGGCTGTTCTGTATCATTTTTTTGAGGAATGTTGTATACCTCTTCACTATATAGCTTCAAGTTTAACATGTGGTTTTAAGTTTTCTCGAATGATGGTGCTCAGTATTGTCTTTCTAACCCATTGCTTTGGTTTTCTTCTTTAAGGACTTATTTATTATAGATGTTGTATCTTCTTTATCTTCTTGTCTATCAGTATCTCTCGAATCCTTTAATCTCAAATTTATTTATTTATTTGTTTTTTGAGACAGACTCTCACTCTGTCACTCTGCCGGGATAAAGTGCAGTGGCATCATCATAGTTCACTGCAGCCTCACACTGCTGGGCTCAAGCGATCCTCCTGCTTCCCCAGTAGCTGGAACTACAGGTACGTGCCACCACATCCTGCTAAGTTTTCTTTTTCTTTTGTAGAGATGGAGTCACACTATGTTGCCCAGGCAGATCTTGGACTTCTGGCCTCAAGTGATCCTCCCGCCTCAGCCTTAGAAAAATGCTGGGATTATGGGCGTGAGCCACATGCCTGACCCTCAGATTTCTTTTTGATTGAAAAGTTTTTCCTCTTTTCTGTCTTCTGTCTATCTTCTAACTATGGTGTTTGAATAGGGTCACATTGCTTTTAGTTGAGTTTTTATTTCTGACCTGTTTTTTTCTTTTAATTAGAATTCTATATTGAGTTCTATCATTCTCCTTGTCAAATATTACTTTTTTCTACTCACTTTTTAAATTATTTTAATTCTGATTTATATTGTTTTTTCATAGCTTTTATAATTTTAACAATTTCAGCTCATTTTGAAATATTTGCTTGTGGTTTCCATCTGTTTTGTGCATGTGTTTTTCTGTATGTTTTCGTTGTCTGTAGCAATATCATTAGTTTTCTTATTCTCTTTTCCTTACAATAATTTGATCCTTTTCTTGCTGCTGAGTTTTTTTTTTCTTTCTTTCTTTTTTTATTGTTTCAGCATATTATGGGGGTACAGATGTTTAGGTTACGTATGTTGCCCTTGCCTCCCCCTCCCCACCCCCTGAGTCAGAGCTTCAAGCGTGTCCATCCCCTGGATGGTGTGCATCCCACTCCTTACGTACGCATATACCCATTCCCTCCTCCCCACTCCCACCTGCCCGACACCCAGTAAATGTCATTCTTATATGTGCACTTAGGTATTGATCAGTGAAACCAATTTGCTGGTGAGTACACGTGGTGCTTATTTTTCCATTCTTGGGATACTTCACTTAGTAGAATGCGTTCCAGCTTGAGTTTTAAAATTAACTTAGTTTTCATGGACTTTTAGGCAGGCCGAGTGGGCCCGGACAGCAGGGCTGCTGTCACAGCTCGAGAGCACATTCTTCTGTTGTTCACATGAAGTGAAAAAAACAGCATCACTTGTTACTTTCTGGTATCAGCTGCTTCCTCTTCCCCTTCTCTTTTATTTGGACCTACTTTTTCATTTCTTGTGGTTGCCCCTGCCCTGCTCAGTTTTGGAATCTATTCCCAGCAGGTGCAGAACCTTGTTTTTGAAGGGGCTTCAGTTTGTTAGTTAATAAGGTTATTGGGCCCAGACTGTGCCAATAGCATTAGACTTTGCTGCATTTTAGCCTCCTGGGACTCGCCTTGCCTTGGATCGTTGAGAACACCCTCCCAGTCTCCCCCGCTCCTCTGAGCGTGGTCCGCCGCACTTCCCAGTGAGTGCCTGTCTGGCATTTGGGGGTTTTCCTGCTCTCAAGGTCTTCCCTCTACTTTTCCCTGCATGGTTATTGATATCACGTGGAATTTATAAGCTGTCACTAATTTGTCCCCAGGTAATTACACGGGTATTTCAACCCCCAAAATTGCAGGTATTGTCCATGATTCTTCAGCTTTGCTGACCTCATGGCTCTGCCTATTTTAACGGGATAATTTTGGTAGATTAAAAAACTGTGTTGCCACTGCCACGATATTTGCAGAACACTAACATTTTAAAACATGAAATGGATTTAATCATTCCCTTGGGCCTGTGACTGCTCTGTGCCAACTCTAAGGTGAAGTTCGCCATGGTGCCGTGCACAGGGACTTTCATTAGCAGCTTTCTGTGTTCTCCGACCACTCCGTGGCTGCAATTTGTGATTAGGTCAGTGCAAACTGCTGGTGTTTCCTTTCTCACACCTCGTGCCTATTTGCAAGCTCATGATTTTCTTGGAATAACCTCTAAATAGCCTTTCCTGCTTCTTTGACTGGCAAACTCACTTTTCAATGAACAGTCTCTATTTGGTCATCAACAATCAACCCTCAGCATGCCACACACAGGTACCCCTCTACCCGTTTGTGTTTGTTTCCTAGGGCTGCTTTAACAAAGGACCATGGACTGTGGCCTACACAATAGAAACTTATTATCTCCCAGGTCTGAAGGGAGGAAGTCTGAGATCAAGGTGTCAGCAGGGTTGGTTCCTTCTGAAGCCCGTGAGGAAGAATCTGTTCTGTGCCTCCCTCCTCTAGCTGGGTGGTTTGCCTGCGCTCTTTGGCATTCCTTGGCTTGTATGTGCATCAGCCCAATCTCTGCCTTCATCTTCACACGGCTTTCTCCCTGTGCACCTATTTCTGCATCTAAACTTCTTTATATAACCACTGAGTCGTACTGGATTAGCAGCCACCCTAGTCATCACATCTTAACTTCATCATCTGCAAATTTCCTTCTAGTTCCAAAAGAAGATCACATTCACAGGTACAAAGGGTTAGGAATTCAGTATCTTTTAGGGGACGCACAATTCAACCCCCAATACTTTGCTATCAATGTTTGATCTCACTTGCCTCATGACTTCTCCTCCCCTTAAGGGAGGAGTCCCCTTAAGGACTTCCGGGTCTGCATCTTGCAGTCCAAC